TTTTACGACGTCATTAAAACCTCAACTTTAGTTTATTGAGGGCATACACAAAAATATTTCTCTTGCACTAATTTACTAGTAGATTAAGCCCGCTTCGAACTTTATGCTCAAAGAAAGTTCTGGATTCAGCCTCTTCTATTAAATCTCCGCTCTTATCTGCGCCGACCTTGTCAGTAATTCTCAAGCACAAAGTCAGGCTGCGTACCCAAGCCTGAATGCTGAAGATTGTTGGGACGGCGGGATTCTACGCATCTCGAGCATTGTTCTACTTGGCCTCCCGAGCGATTGGTCCTGTTCGCAGTCCGTCCACTTGTTGACACACAGTGGCATAGTTGAAGCCACGATCTTGTTATAAACATTAGGTGGTCACGTAATTGGTTCCCGCAAGGAGCGGCGGCATTGGGATTGGCGCAACCATGTTCTCTAGTTCTCATCGAGTTTGACTCACACTATAGCAATGGAATGTAGAACATGGAGCTTAGCAGGTAGACACTATCTGGCTGCCTCCCATGGCAGTGCATTGTAACCGCAGATTTTCGGACAACTTTGAGACCGATGCAGACCGTGGCCTCGGAGCGACCTCGGGGAGAGCAGTGTTTCCCCATTTTCACTTGCTCCTAGCGAACCCTCAGACATCTGCTGATGAGTTCACAAGGGGGGCTGTTGCCTCCAAGTCATCCACTCAGACTGAGAACCTGTTCATCCTGGTTCGTGGACTTTGCGATACGTGTGCACTTCTGGCACTGGGCTCCCACTGTGCGTATTTATGTGTCAAATGTACAAGTTGAGGTTAGGTGTTGTATTCGTGGCGTTATGTTTGCGCTCCAGTCACTGGCTCGCCAATATCAGCGCGATGAACTGCAGCTAGGTATGGGATTCGCATGAATCAGAATTATATATATATATATGTAGCTTAGAGAGGGTATGCATTCCGAGGTGATATAATGAAAAATAGAAGAGGTTCTTCGGAAAAGTCGAGTTGTACTCGTGAATTTTCGAGCTGGTGACACCAACCCGTCGTCAGACGTAATGAAAACGAGGGAGAAAGTTATGTTGTCACAGTAGACCAGTTAGTGTGATAGGACAGAACAGACCACTGACGTGTGAGGGGGGGTAGGCTCCCGAGGTCATGGTAGGTCACTGAGTGAGGGGCGGG